ACAAAAGCGTCGAAGCTCCTCCACATCCACGTCATAGTCTTCAAAGGTCAGCTCCTTCTCACGGAGTAGCCGTTGCAATGCACGGACCATGTCATCATGAAGTTTGTCCTCTCGGATGAGGAAGGCGCTGACTCCCTCATGAGGTCTTCGGCTCAACCTGCGATAGTAACCTCCGATTTTGGATCCGGCATCTGGAAGAGGTTGTTTGTTGAGTGGGCTTTCTTCGAGGTATTTGATGAGTTTGGCAACATCTTTCTCAGCTTTAAACTCCTCTGGCAGGAGTTTATACATGAGTTGAACAAGTGCAGCATGGTTGGATTGAAGAGCTTTTCGTACAATCCGAGCGGCCAAAAGGGGTCTTTCGTTGGCCTTTGAGGATTGCAAGGCCCATTTGCATTCCACTATGAAATGCCCAAAGGAGTCACTTCGTCCGTCCCAACATGGAACGAAGTTTTGGGAACCGTCATTCCCCTTTTCCACCATTCAAAACCAAAAGGTCCTGATCGACCCGATGCTCCGCGGCACCAATGTCTCCCACAAGGGCTTCCGTGAAGCTTTAGAAGGTACTCTTCTCGATTTGTGCGTGCCAGCTGGAGGCCATTTCTAACACGCGCATCGGCCCGAAGTGGATCCACTAAACAGCGTCGGGGATTTCATGCTATACATGCGTGCTCAAAAGGATCGAAAAGTCCACATGAAACAAAGTTACCTCGTGCCACTTTGAAGGTCCTGGTTCTTGTCCATGCACTTAGGACGACACCCAAGTGAAGCCACGAATGCAAAGGCTGCTGAATTTGCGTTCATGTTCTATCATAATTCCATTTCACCGAACGGTGCTGGAATCCTCGTGGCTGCCCATCAGATCCACTGCGTTAAAAAAAGGCACTATATAGGATCTTGCAACTTTGCAACATGTTCTGCCCGTTGATCTTGAACATCGGCCAATCAAACACCAGCAGTTCCATGTTGAGGTGCTATATGTTCTACTTCCCAATGGAGCAAATCGGGTTAGTACGTACCTTTGTCACATCCACGACGGTTTGGACTCAACACCCGGAAGATCCATTTCTTGATGTGCCGACTCCTCTCGCTTCTCAGCGGGAGCGTCGTGGGTCAAAGGGCATGGAGCGGTCCATCGGTACCGAATACATTCAGAGCTTTAACTAGTGCAGAGCATATTGAGCTGAATTGTTGGCTTCATATTTCATCGTAACGTCATCGTAGGCGAAGTTCTATAAGCTAAGAGCTGACGAACCTGTGAAGGTTTGCTTGAAAACAGCCTCTGCTTCTCCCTCCCAGGTGGGCGGCGCTGGTGTCCGACACTCAGGGGATGACACCGTGGACTTCAACGCACCATAGCTGGTACCTCCGCGACCTTACCCGTTTGGGCTCCTGGCCCACCTCCGTTTCGAAGATGGGACTGAGGTGGGTGCCAGGGGGGGTCGAATACCACCGAACCTGAGGAGATGGGACAGGTGCCCTAGGGATAAGTGACCTTTCTTGGAGTCTCTTAGTGGCTGGACGAGCCGTGACCAGATCTGAAGAGGTCGCTTTGGTCCAGGTGCTGGTTGATGTGTGTGTGAATGTGTTTGTAACAAGCCATCAGCTCATGTCCTGTTCGAGGAGGATGCTGAACTCACATTCAACCTTCATCATCACCTTTGTTTTCCAGCATAATATAAACATGTTCTCGTCTTGCTAGGGATGTGTTGTTCTCAATCCTGAGGGTACCGGGTATAGTATAGTGATTAATCACCTTGGTACTTGCATCCATGAGTCTGGCCTCAGCGACTTCGAGCCCTGCAAATCGAAGGTCTAGTGACACGCGGCTTTCAGCTTCAATCCGCTCGGGGTTGACAAGAGCAGTTGAGGAGATGTGGAGTAGCCCACCGCCATAACTAGTACCAAATACATCCTAATTACCATGAGAAGAACACAACAAAACAAACAGCTGGTAAACGTTGCCGGCCACAAGATACTGTACCACATGGGCAGGTTTAGAGCTGATGGTGCACGCTGACCGTTGAGTTTCTCGTTGACCGTTCAGTGAATGTGCCCACGCTGCGGTGGCGATTCGGAATCCGTTCGGTTGGACAAACATTCAAACACATAGGATTTTCACCGCCTTTAGCTTAGCTGAACTCTTCGAGAAGGCGACGGAGAGAGATAGGACTTTGAAGGTCCCGACCCCTGCTTAGGGTTGGACACATTGAAACCCCTCTTCGACCGCGGTGACGTCTCGGCTTTCGCGACCGCCATGCGCCCGTGCCGCCGCTTGCTGGCCAGTGTGCGGCTGAGCCAAACGGGTGGGTGGGTAGAGCGATGAACCTGATGGAGGTGGAAAGGCCGAAGGATAGGGCTGTGCTATCCATGGAGGATAGGAAGTCGGGGTACCCTGGATCCACTCACTTACAGCTTTTGGTTCAACCACCAGGAGTTTGGAAACTCCCTGGTTTTGATAGGGTGACCTAGGTCACCTCCCAACTCCCAACCAATGGATTTTGTTTGTTGTGATATTCCCAGAGCTCGGAGTGGGGGATCCTCCTATTCCAATACACACATGCATAGGTGGTTTACCATGGTTTACCCGGGTGGTGGTCTCTTTGGAGGATCCACCGCCACCTTCTCAGGTTCGGTACGACTGGACCCTCCTGGCGCCGTCTCCAAACAGTGTCGAACACATCACCGTACCTCAGGTTCGGTATGTGGATTCGGGAAAAAGACCAGGACCATCCTGTTTGGGTGTCTAATGGACTACCCACACTACTCAAACTACTGGATGAGAAGGCTACCCAGCCACACCCAGATGGTCAGATGGTCGTAGCTGTAAACCGGATGATACAGATCTTTAGATCCAAGATCTCAGCCTATCCAGGCGATAGTTGGATATTTGGCTGCGGCATCTATAGATCTCTTGGATGGTCTTCTCACATGACTCAAGGCTTCGCTTCAGCCACCAGCACCCCCCCCAAGCATGCTCTGGCCGCTTGGGGAGTGGAGAGAGTGGCTTTTGCATGTGTTTGCAGTACGTATTGGTGTTGCAATCAAGGATCACACGGATGACACCGACTCACAAGCCCCGGACCACCGTCTTCATACCCATCCACAGGTCGGACCCATCAAGCTGGACCGTTTTCGACTCACAGCCCCAGCTGGGTCCGACTGAGCCCGGCAGATCTCCAGGTCTGACCATGTGTGGCGCTTCGGGGCTGGCCGGCCGCGCGTGGCAGTGCTGGGGGGGCGTGCATGGCAACGAGCTGGCGGGCGTGGAGGACGGCTGGGAATGGACGGAAGCGGCATCCGTCCGGGATGGAGGTGAAGCACATGCACCATCAGACCATGGGTAGCTTGTAGAGTTGATTATTTGTTTTAATCGGGCTTTCCGGTTTGATGCCCTCCGATCTTTGAATAGACAGGCTTCGCCTGACCCAACTGGGGAAACCGTCAATGAGCCACAGCTTCAGCTGCAGTTGCGGCATGACAACCACATCACATGGATAATTACTGTGGAGATCTGTGGATGGCATGGAGAAAGAAAACTGGATCTTGGAGGACGAGGATCTTCATGCCGAAGCAGGGTGGGCCCTTCACCTAGCCATGTGATGTCTTCCCTGCGGAAGTGACGGGCCAGTGAGGGGGGGGCTCCAGGGACATGGTCAACCGGCACACAGCAAGCAGTTCAAGGAGTTCACGTGATGCCATTAAAAAGATAAATTGAGATATAACCTATATATGGTATATTATACTAATATACACACAATCACACACATATATATATATATATAGATATACATATTAAAATAAACACCCAAAAAACCACATCAATTTTCCCTAAGGGTCAGACGGACCTTATTGTAGACTGGAATTCTTCAGGACGACCGGACGACGACCAGTCCAGTCAGCCCACCGACCTTTGGATCACCGAGTGGTTGGATCCTTGCGCACCTGGATCCGTGCAGGGAAAATGTAGGTCATTTGGAGGATGTAGGTCCTGAAGTGCTTCCTCCAAGTGGGGGATGTAGGTCTGATGTAGGTCATGTTGGATCTGTGCTTCCTCTCAGGTCCTGACGTGATAAATCTCTGAAAATAAAACAACCACGGATGACACCGGTCTCACACGTGGAGAGAGCGAGCTCTTCGTGACGCTTGCTTCCGTTTCGTTTGACTCCGTTGACACTTTCTTCCCGAGATGGCCAGGTGGTGAGGACACTGGTGCAGGAGCTGAGCCAAGCGTTCTGGCGCAAACAGGGCGGGTGATGCGTGTTTTTGTTTTTCCTTTGGGAGCCTGGAGGAGGAATCCAGGATCAATATGATGGATCAATGCCGCGAGAGAAGATGCAGCTTCTCCTGGCCAACTGGCCTTCTTTGACTCTTGAACTGCCATGAAAGCGTAACGCATAATCAGGGTTTTGGTTTTGGGGTCACCGCACAGGCTTTCAGGACTGAGAGTTCGGCGAGGGTTTTGTGCCTTACTTGCCCCCCAAAAGGAAGGCGTATATACCAGCAGTCACAAAGGGGTGCTTAATGAAGGTTAGGGGTGCCCATTATCCACTCACTTAGGGACCAAACACCACCCCTTTGTGACTCCTGGTATATTGATTGATATGGAACAGACATCACGCCATCACCCGAATGCAGGTATAGGATCCCGCCATCACGCCATGCCGCCATTTTTTTGCATATTCCTGGATCTTCAATGCACCTGGATCTTCAACCGGAGGCCATTTTCGATTTTATATTGAAAATTGTTTTAAAGGAATTTCCGTAGTTTCAGAGTAGGTGACACAATCACCAAGAGGGTTTATATGGACCCCCCCTCTAAAAGACATGCAGGGGTTTGTGCCATCAATTCTGAAACCACTGTAGCAATTTTAAGGGTTGCAAGCATTTGATATTTTCATCCATGAGTTCCACTCAAAACGCCCGGAATCTGCTTGGACACGTTAGGAATCTGAAAGACGTCTTTGCCTGAAACTGTTTGGTGCGGCAATTTGTGGTGTCAGGAATCGAAGATCCAGGTCTGCATCGGGGAAACCGAGCTGGTCCCCGACGGAGTATTCTACCTTCATCCCTCGGCTGGCTCCATGTATTCGACCTAGTGGCTTGTATCTTTTCCCCATGACCTGCAACAGTCGATCAAAGATCATGTTCCCTACACCTCCGGTCGTACCTCCTCAGGTTCGGTATGACTGGACCCGAACATGGCACCCACCCCAGTCCCACCTTCTCAGAAGGTACGACTGGAGGCCTAGGGTTTGAGAAAGGCCCACTAGGCCTGCTTGCCTGGGCCGACCACCCGGCCCTGGGAGGTAAGACCCAGTCCGCCAGTCCCGACCTCACCAGGACCTCACTATCTTCCGTTCGGTGGTTTTGGGACACCCCTTCTTATAGAGGGGCGGGTGTGGGAGAGCACCAAACCTTGCACAAAACCACCAAAAAACACATCTCCCAGGCGCACCCGTATTGTTATTGTATTAACCATCCTAGGATATCCTAGGCTATCCCATAGGTACCCCAGGTGACGGGTCTTAGATGGTCACTTGAACCTCTCAGAGGCCGTAGACACCTGACCATACGGACGTCAGGCCCCGCAGACCGCGGGCGAAGTCACGCTGATCATTGGGAACCCTCCGGCGGTGGCCCAAGCGACACGGTGCGCCTGTCCGCGACACGGTGCGCGCCGCGGTCTTTTTCATGCATGGTGAGGTAGGTTTAATACGTCAAACCAGGAAGATCTGCGAAGCTTTCGATGTTTGGCTTTCCATGGTGCAAACTTCTGGAGAGTGCTTCTGTGCAAAACCATGTTGGGCTGAAGGAAAAAAATGGAATTTTGCAAATTCCGGACGCCAAACCGTGAAGTTGAAGTTGATGCAAAATAAGAATAACACTTAACCATGCATAATAACAATTAACCATTTATTCAGCATGAATAAGTTAAAGTTGTCATCAAACTGAAAGAAACCAACTTTTAACTTCATACTTTTGGGGTGACGTGATGCCAAAAGCCAATGTTGTCCGGCCCACCCTGTGCCAAGTGGCAGCTTCCCTTCAGAGTCTATGGTTGACTCTGGTTGTTGACCCTGGAGCTTCCCAGTGACAACTTGATCTCCTAGGGTTTGAGGCCACTTGGGCCTGTAAAAGTTCACTTAGGGACTCCAAAGAGGTCATTGGGCAGGTCCTGGAGTCCTGGACTATGGTTTTTAAATGTTTATTACTATGGGAGACTATATGGGCCAAGGTTCCAATTGGAGTCAACCGTCCGAAGCACGATCTTTGCGCCAGGTACATCGAGGAGGACTTGAACCGCTGCTTCGATGATGTGTTCCCAGCGAAAAATCTGGAGCAGAGAAGAGCCAAAGAGATCTCAGCACATTTAAAGGGGCTGGAGCCTTGGCAGATGAGTGGAGGAACCTGCAGATGACGTTTGTCCAAAATGCTTCTCCTTGTGTAAGAAAGACCCGTTTTTGCATGTTATTTTATTGTATTTTTTTAATCTTCCCAATGTGTGAATCCTTATCCTCTTCATGGAGAATATGCTTTTTACTGGTTCGATATGCTTCACAAGGGTGACAAGAGCAATGCATGAAGAGTTTCACCGCTTCCTGTATCAGGGACTCGGGACAAGTTCTTCTGAGATTTGCTGTATCCTTAGGGTTTGTTCCAAAAAAAAGCTGTAACAGTCGTTTCAACAATGATCATGCTTGCCCGGGCCCCATCATCATCCACTGGGCCCTGGAAGGTTGGGACATACCCAGACAATCCATGGGACTGGAATATGTTGCCTACATTTGGGATCGATAGCAAAGATGTTTTGAGGGTCAATGTAGGTAAAAAAATATATATATATATAGGTAAATATTAAATATTCCATACTGTACATGGATTGTTGCCCGTTTGGGCTCCTGTCCCACATCCGAAGGTAATTAGGTCCCCGCTGGCACCTACCCCAGCCCCACCTTCGAAACGGAGGTCATTGGAGCTCTAGTACGGGTTAGGGAAGGAATTTCTGTCCAAGGGCTCCAAGTGGCCCTACATGAGGTTTGCTGGGACTGGGCTTGGTCTAGGTGCGATTGGAGGGTCTCAGTCAGACCTGAGCAGATACGAACCACGGAGCCCCGCTCCGCGGCCCCGTTGGCGCGCGGAGATCGGCTAAAGCTCCATGGCTCGGGCTCGGGTGGATGGGGTGGATCGTTGCACCGGTGGAATGGTCCAACCAGGCGGACCCATGATCCACCGAACCACCGGTTCCCGCTTCGGTACGACCACCAACGGGCCCGACCCGTTCGTCAGCGCCTACGTACTACGTCGTCTCAAGAGTCTCACCGTGTCACCGGTAGGTTCGGTACGTCAAACGGATCCCGATAGAACCCGTTCAGCTTCCGATTCGACGTTCGGTTGACCTGGGAGGCGTCGTGTAAAGAAGGGTGGTTCCGTAAAGGCCATTAAAAGAATGGTTGTTGGAAGCTTAGTGTAATTGTTGCCTGAAATATTCAAGGTGCAAGGAAGTTTTAAAACAACAAGGAAAAACTCCAGCACTCTTGGAAAAATGTAGAATCTCCATGCGGTTATGGTGTTTTGTGCGTCACAGGGGCCCCTGTGTGTCCTCACCTGCGCCACGCCACGTGGCTCCCAATGGAGGATCTCCTCTTGGACCTCCACGCCACCAACAAGCCCTCGGAGCCCTTTGCGCGGCTCCCAGGCGTGCTTGACGTGGTAGCTGGAATCTGTGCGTCCTGGTAGCTGGAACACCTTGGAGACCAGACTCAACTACAAAAGAGATACAGTACCTGCCACAGCGCATGCATACATGCGCATTTTCATATCCATCAAGTTCAGCTTCAGTGTGTTTTTGTTGTAGACATACGAAAGACTTAAGGGACCTAGCAGACCTAGCACCTTGGAACGAGGCACACTTGGTGGGTGTGTATTTTTGATCCGGGCCTCCCACCCGGATCTGTCGTTGATTCCTCCGACCGGGGCCGCACCCTCCGGGGTTGGTTGGACCATGTCGTTCGCCCTGGTCGCTGCTTCGCGCCCCGCCGGCTGCTTCGGTCGTGCCCGCGGCCCGTGACGTTCGGAAGGACTCGGAACCCGACGCTGGTTTTCGAATGTTCCCGGGGGTCGGTCTCGAAGGTCGCAGGCAGTGGAGCTTGGGATCTGTGGGTTTCGGCAGGTTTCGGCATGTGGAGCTTTGGCTTCCAAGATTGGGTCCTTCGTTAGGACCTGAGGTGTGACCTAGAAAGAAGGTGGCTTTTGGTCTGATTTGATGACTTATAGACAACTACAGGCTGCTTCCAACGGGTCACCAATGGACAACCCATAACAGGTGTGCAGACAGGGCACCCATTGGAAGTGCTAGGTATTTGTTGTTTTTAATTCCATGTGTTTAAGAAACACCTTCAAGGCACTCCGGGTTCTCCGCTCGTTCCTTCCTTCCAGCCCTTCAGGTGGCACCAGCGGCCGCCGGCGGCGCTTCCAAGCTGCTGAGCAACTCTTTCTGCAGTGGCTGCCGGAGTCGTGCCAGAGCCCTGTCGCATAGCTGGGGCGCCAGGTGCGCGAGCTAAGTGACGGGGGGAGGCTAAGCCAGGTACTGTAGCTGAAAGCCAGGTAGCTAAGTTATGCAACCTGAGAGGTCCGCTCCTTGCAAGCTTTCTTTCGACGCTCTGTGGAGATGGGAGGGTGGGGGCTGGGGCTTTGGAGGTGGGGGAATGGGGCTCATGCTCAGGGCATCACCTTGGCATCGCGACTGGTTGGTAGGTGTATACCAAGGGATAGCTCCACCCAATCATTTGGAGAAGATCAAGTTACATGAATAGCCCGAATAGCAGCGTTGAACTGTAAATGAGCCAAGTTTTGTCATTAATGGATTTGCAAGGATGATGGGGGGGAGAGTTCACCAGATCAAACGTGCTGGAGTTACTGTATGGCTCCCCAACTGTAACTGTATGTATTCACATGAGGTAGGTATTGACCAACACGAGAGTTGTTGTAATTTGAAGAACTCTTTTCTTAACCTCCCATCTTGCGCAGTTCTGGAAGGGACGGACGCATAAATATATTTGTAACCAAATGCTAGGTTTTTGAACATCACATGACCTTTTCAGGGACCACTTCAGGACTAGTTTTTTAATTTGTTTGTTTGTAGGAAGGTCAGAAAGCCCCTGGTAGCCGAGCAAACATCTCAAAGACTTTGCATGTTGTTCATGTGAGATCCTTGTGTTCCTGTTTCGGTGCTGCCCATGTCAGGCTGTGGTGTGGCTATTCATTCCCCTTCGTCAAACTTCAAATCTTGTATCTAGAGAGGAAACTGTGGTGCTGGAAACATGGGTAGCTTGGAGCATAGCGTAGTGGGGCCTGTGTTTGTCGTCCTCAGCGCTACTCCGATGCGAGCTACAAGAAGTTCCACACAACAAGCTCACATAGGCACTTCATTCACCTGGTTTGATACTGTTTGCGTGCAGACAGGGAAAGGATCTAAACCTCTTCCTGGGCATCCTAGAAGACAAAACCAAACATGAACAAAACAAAATATGATCAAAAAACTGATCCAAAATCAGAAGCTTGTTACTTTGTTGTCATATGATGCTAGTACTTGTAGCATTGGCCAGCTAACCATCCTGCTTGTTCTCATGACTTCAGGCTTGCCCCCTCCTGTGGCTGCCCAACATGCGTAGGAGATCCGATCCGTTGCGATCCAATGAACTCAGGAAGGTGCTCTGGGATCCTCAAGGGCTCATCGCAGGTGGTGCCATGACGGACGAGTTCGCGCTGCGCCACGGTCCCCGCGGTGCCACGGGTCCTGTGGCGCAGATTTGTTGCTCGGCTCAAGAAGCAACGAAGGGTGGGGACAAACGGTCCCAGCACGACTCACAACTACTAGTGCTCCATCATCAACTCTTATGTCTCGAGTCTCAACCATACGAGTATACTCATCAACTATAGGGCATCACCCAGGAATACCTCCATCATCAAGTATAGGTTCTGTGCTTCCACCATCATCCTCGCGGAGGCTACGAAGCGGGCTTGGCCTCGGATGCGAGCGTCGCGACGGCACTGCTGATGGCAGTGCGGGCAGCACTCACAGTGGTGGGCGCGGTGGAGGTTGGGCTGCTCAGGATGCCGGAGTGCCACAGTGGGAGGTGGGGATCACGTCGACATGAATACAGAACCCTTCGGATTGTAAAGCCATGTAGGACGTGTTCATGTGGGGGAATTGATTCAACAACAAGTCTACATTAGGATCATTCAGCGTCTTCTCCACCTCCACTCAGTCTGGACCGCCCAAATGCAAAGCTCCCTTGGAGCCTATCCCGAACCCATCGAAGCCCACGCAGGCGACGCATCCCTGCGCCGATCCGCTCGTGAGCGAGCGCAAATCCACGCGAGCATGGGAGCATTATGAGATCACCGCCGCTGGGTCGCGGGACAGTGCTGGCAAAAGCACTCGAAGTAGGTCAGGAACAGGTGAGCCTTAAAAGCGGACAACTATGCAGGACCTTCAGGCGCATGGCAAGCTGGAGACCATGTTGAGGTTTGGGGCTGCCAGTGGTTATAACATGTGATGACTTATGTGCAAAGCACCATGACCATAAAGGAATTCCAAACAGAGAGGTTTCGAACATCGCAACAATCAGACTTGGAATGAAAGATTGGGTCCTATGATACGTGTTTAGCCTGATCAAGTGTTATGATGTTGCTGGCTTTTGGGTTGCTGGGCTAAACATCGTAAGAAGGGACCATGGCCAGTCCCCAAAAAGTATTACAACACTCCAATCCCTCAAACATTCAATTCTGGGCCGGAGGATTTTACAGAACTGGTATAACGAGCACGTAGGACTAGGAAGATAATGGTCAGAGCTGGCCATGGTTTGTCTCACAGGTCTCAACAAAAGGAGGATGCTGAAGGATTTGGGAACAAAATGGAACAAAGTATCATTGTGCATGTTAGAAACCAATCCGCTCTGATAGAAACAAGTATTGAATCGAAGCTAATCTCGCAAAAGACTGTTCACACATTAGGATGTAACATTACAAGGACTTTCGTGCAGCATTAAGAAACGGACGTGAGCGGGTTCAGAGAACAGCGCATTACAGTGATTTCTGAGCAGATGGCACAAGGGCACCCAAGAAAGGTTGTCTAAATAGACCCCAGATCCAAAAGACATCGTGGGGGTTGTGCCATCTACTCTGGAGCCACTGTACATGAAAACGGTTGGCGCCACCACCACCTTTGTTGCCACCCTATAGATAAACTGAGTCGCACACAAAAGGGCGTCGATGGTCTATGGAAGGGATGCGGAATTTTTAGCCGTACAATTGGAAGTGGAGTTCACCATAGTTCACCATTTGTCGGATAAATGGTCTAGAGAGAGGGGGCCAATTAGTCAGGTTCGACTTTTTCGGCCACCAGTGCGCTACAATTGGAAAGCCCCATATATAGAAAGAACAGCGCGTGGGGCCCACAGCCTGATCCGTTTTTTTTGCGATGCACTTGGATCCTCCGTTCTCAGGAGATCTTCCGCCTCGATAGGCGCGGCTTCCGTTGGTTGCCTCCTTATGGTGCCTACAACTTTCAGCCAGTGCCTTCGGGCGCTGCCTACAGTGCACGTGGGGAGAGCGAGGGCGAGCTGCTGGTGACGCGGGAGCCAAGCTATTTGGTGTTTCCGAAGGTGCCCGAGCGGCTGGGAGGCAAGCAGCTGGTGTGTGTTCGGTTTCGCCGGGAGAGGTGTGCCCGAAACGGGAGAACAACGGGGGTCATCCATCCATCCAACTCACAGAAAGGCAGCGGAGAGGCATCCGCCTCGCGGATGGGCGACGTCGGAGTCTCCAAGACTCGAAGCCTGCCCTACACTGGATTGAGAGGTCCAAGTGTGACCAGTTGGGACTCCAGTCTGGTCCAGTCTCAGCTCGTGGAGTAAACGTGTTTTTGTTTGATGTTTTTGGTGTTTTGGTATGGGTATCTAGTCAAATGAAGTCCTGACTGGTAGGACCTGGAGCGGTTTCGACGGTTTCAGGCAATGCGTGTGATCGACCATCCGTTCGTGGTTGGGAACAAGGAGGCTCAGATAGGCTCAGAACTCGTTTGGGCCAGGTGATATCTCCAACCATTTGAGATTGAGGATCACTTCGACTTGGGTTGGAATGGAATGGAGTTATATAACTGGTGGGAAGGTCCATTTGAGAGCCCCTGTACGACTGGGGCTCCAGCGCTCCGGGACCCGGACGGTATGACCGGTATGGCCGTTTTGATAGGAAAAGATCATCCCTAGGGCTCCAGTCGTACCTTCTGAGAAGGTGGGACTGGGGTGGGTTTAGAGGCTCCAAATACCTTCTAAGGAGGTACTTGGAGCCCTAGGGCATATGTTGGGGTGCCTGGTGATCCACAAAGATCACTCAGGTTCTAGTGGTCCATTTGAGAGTTGGGGGGCCTTCGGACGGACTCTCCAATAGGCTTCTGAGGACTCAGGGAGTGTAGGAATTCCTGCCCTGCACCGGTCTTTGATCAAATAGAGTTGACTCACTTCTTGTGCTGAGAAGTTCTGTAACCATATGTAGCAGGGAGATCAGTTTTGGTCCGGATACTGAGTTGCTGCCTGTTCTGGTGGCGCCCTTACCAGCCTTCAAGGCTTTGGGCCGATGGCAAGCCTTTGGGCTGGCTCGCGCGGAGACTGAACTCGCTGTAGCCGTGGTGGAGGAAAACGGGACGATGTCGCGCCCGCGAAGGGGCAGGTTTAGGGGGAACGGTCCAGCCGCGAAAGTGAATGCATGTGTCCAACATGTGTCCAACAGCTGTGCTAGTGGCGAATCGATTCGCCACTCTCGTCAAAGCTTAAAGCGTAAAAAGCAAGCTACGGGACTGCGGGACTGCGGCCTTGCCAGGTGATGCTGTGGACATTGGTGGTCCATGCGTTTGTTGCATGTGTTGGTTGCCTCTGTGGACCCGTTGTTCCCGAGCGAGAGCGAGAGTAAAAATGAGATCGACCATTGACCACTTTCCAAGTTGAGTGCAGCAGTGAGGACGGGGCCTCAAAGGACTATATAAGTCTCATGAGAAACGGTTTGCCAGAGGGATGGCAAGCAGATGGAGCAAGCTGGTTGAAGTGGATTGGACGGATTTTGTTGAAACTTCCAAGCCTTTCCAGCCCTCAAGAGCTCACCAGCACTGGTGTTTTAGAGGTTTTGATGCTTGATAAGGGTTGGCATACGGATTTCATGCTAGCCTTCTTGGCACCAAGACCGGCCCCCCCTTTTTTCACCGATAGATTGACCTCCCTTTCATCTATTTGCCATGACCCACATGATACCGATACTGCTCCGGTGGAACAGTACGATCTGCGGGTCCGAAGGGTTCCGTCGCTGAGGTGCTGCCCTTCGACGTTGGAGACATCCAGAAGCGCCGGACACTTCTAGGCGGCGGCCGGCGGGAAGCTGGCGGGAAGCTGGCCGTTTGGCCGTCCCGCCCCAGAGGTGGAGAGTTCGGGAACAGCCCCGAGCTCCAGCCCAAAAGCGAGCGAAAAAGAGCTCAAGCTTTAAGAGCTCAAGTTTCTTCCGAAACTCAATGGGGTGATTGATAGGCCCACCTGACTATGCATGTTCCGAAGTACATGCAATAACCATCCGAGCTGGGTGGTGCTGGTTGATGTTGCTTGCTTCGTAGGTGTTTTCAAAAGCATCGGCGTAAACACGGCATTGAGCCGACCTACTAATAGGATCTAATAGGTGGTTTGCAAGGACCACCGGTGGTGGAGGGAACTCTCATGACACCATGCCAGGACAAGCACCCGACGCTTTCAGCATACATGATAGGAATTTTTGTTTCCGACAACTGTGACTGTGCTGTGTTTTTGTTTTTAATATTGACATCCAAGGCTTCGTTGATTTGATTTTCCATCTAGATGCAAACGTAGCTTGAAAATGCTTGAAACAGAACTTGATCAGGTTCATGCGGTTCATCAAAGATTGGGTGCAACGATGAATGCGTTGGAGCAGGTGAACTCTTGAGTTCTTAAAAAGGATTCGGAGTGAAGTTGGGGTGTTCGGATGCCTCCTTTGGCAGCTTCTTCCATGGCCCTTTCGGCGGAGGCTACGAGGAGGGAGATGTGAACGAGTCGGCCGATTTAGGCCGCGGAACGGGATGTTTATGCTGTCGGACCTTATATACAAAAGTTGTGGATGTAGATCATTCATAAGGCTTCAGCCTGGAAGGCTGCGAGCTGTTTGGAGACCTCTTCCAATGACTTCACCAACCTAAGCCAGGCAGTTCTACACTCCTGCAAAAAGCGGTCAACCCATGCTATACCGGTCGACCTGGGCAGGCCTGGGCTGTGGGAACCCCTTGGTGGCGGCCAACCTCCGTCCTGGCGAGGTGATGGCGGACCTGAACGGGTCGGACCAAACCGAGGGAGGTGACTGGCGCCATGCCAACAGCCAGGAAATCATCATAACAAGGTCCATTGATCCAAAGCAACGTGATCTCCTTGGGTTCTGTGTCGGTTTCGTGTGTAGAAACGTTCATCCTCAAACGAGGGTCCACTGAGTCCATGTTTCTCCAAATCAACTTGATCTCATTGGGTTCTGTGGTGTGCACGTGGCATTGCGTGGTCATCAGTGGCAACACCATGTGTGTCCTACAGGCCCATCAATGAGAATCAGGGTCCCGCCGTGTTCGGGTTTGGAAACGCATCAAGAGTGGACCATGCTGCGTCACGAGTGTTCAAGCTCCTTGGTTGGAGTGGTGTTCATCATTTCAAGTTATATAGGACGAAAAGTGAGACGCCATGAGACATCAAGGTGTTTTAACATGTGTGTGTGTGTATGTTCTTGTCGCCATCCCAACGTGTACTATAGTTGACTGAAAAGGCATTCTACATCACAAAAGGCTTATTTGTGTCACCTTGATGACCCCGGGTGGGTTACACTCCCTGAGATCATCATGGTTACATGGATGACATGGCCACCTTGGAAGACAAGTTTTGTCTACAGAACATTTGGTGATTTCCACTTCCATGCATGATTAATCCAAGCATTGTAGATAGAATATGAGCCAATCCAAAATCATGATCCGTATTTTTTCTTGGTGTTGGGATTTTGCCACACCACTGCAATCTTCTCCACTTCCACCATGGATGATTTCAGGGAATGTCACCCTTCTTCATCTTGAGAGGTTTCCACTATTCCCACCCTGATGGCCTCTCCATGGCAGGGGTGTAGGGGTTGGCGCGAAGCAAGGGGCCTGCTTCCTCCACAAACCAATGTTTCTATATAGGGCCGGACAAAAACCCGCGATGGCGGACGCGTCAATCGACGAAGCTCGGCGGGTCGACGAAGCTCAGCGCGAGGTCGTGCTGGACCTGGGCAGTGGCGCAGGCATCGACTGCTTCCTGGCCGGCAAGCAGGTGAGCAGGGCCGGCACCGGCGCTGGTACGGGGGTGCCAAGGTGGTGAGGATTCCTACTATTAGGGCTTCAAGCACCTTGATATTTGGAGTGGGTGGCAGGAGGGTCCAAATGCTTGATGCGGAGGTACTTGGAGCCCTAAAAATCCCAATATAGAGGAATCTGTTCCTGTTGACCAGGGGTCAACCAGAACGTCCAGGTTTTGACCCACACCCCGGAATGGCCAGGTGGACTGGGACC